CCATGAATTCCCTCATAAAACAAGTGAAAAAAGAATAACCACTGAAGAGGAAGGGCGGATCTGAGATGCAGAGGTGTCCTTGGGACGACTTTAAGGAACTAGGACCTAAGAGTTTACACCTCACACATCTTCGAGCACCTGAAACTACCCATCAGGTCTCCGCAGACTTACAGTCTTCGTCTGAATATCTCTTTCGACGCTTCCTTGTAAATGCTCTTTGGTCTCATCGCAACAAATCGTTGTTTGAATCGAAAACACCTGTTAGGTGCAGCCTGTGTTGTATGACAAACCGGAGTGGCTCAATATTCAGTCCTCTGCAAGGCCAGCTGTATGAGGAAGAATCCACCTGTGCAATGGAGTATAATGTTAGACAGCTTTTGAGGTAGTATCGTTTCAAAGCGTCATTAGAATGGGTGAATATGGCTTAGAGAAGTACTGCAATATCTAGGAGTCGTTTAAACTAAGTTATTACTTTATCTTGCTCCGTCGCATGTTCGTGTTTACAACACAAAACTGACGTTTGCTCGATAGGAGACTACTCTAACCCGTCTGTAAGGAGTCGTCACAGATTCTCTCGCCTACAATGCACATGCCAAAATGCCTAGACTTGTTAGCCGACCGATGAGAACGGAATTCTTTACTCATATCGTGTTTGATCACCATTGCCACCATTGAAAGACTCGCAGTGTTCCCTGAGCCTTTCCATAATACGCTAAGCTGACATAGATGAAGATTGATCACAATTGATTGACAGACAGACAGACAGGGATTGTGCGCAGTCAGGGGGATTTACAAGCTGCAAAGCTCCAAGGAACTGGAAATACACATACACTTTAAGTGATTATCCTTTTTACAGCAAAAATGAGTAAAAACGACGATAAATGATAGTAACTTTATGTCGTTATGCTTCATGCGCTGAGTGGCATATTCCAAGTCGAGAGTAATAACATCATTTCAATGTTCCATGTGAGCAGAATGCCTTTGCGGAGTCAACTTTGGACATTTCTGGCAGTAAAATGTGCATCGATGGTCGATACACATATTTTCAGGTTAGGTCGCAGTGTTAAGATAGTTGAAGTGGGACTTTTGTCATGTTGGAAGTAGGAATGCATAAAAATCGGCGTCATTCCAAATGGCCACTCAAACCACAGCATACTTTGTCGGTAGCAGGTTCGATGTCAACATATGGCTCAATAAACGGTCTCACTGAGTTCAGCAGTCATGGTCGCATGCTTTCGTGGAATGCTAAATAAACTGTAAAATGTGAAAACCAAGCCACGTCAAATATCGCAGTGTGGGTAGGTGTTTGGTCTGCAGTGGAATGAAGGGAAGTAAATTGAGCTTTTCGTACATTATCATATCACTTTATCCAGTTGTGAGCATTGCAGGACATAAAATTCTCCATGAGTTTTGCCAATAATTCAATGTGATACAGACACCTAGTCGGGATTTACGCACTTTTCTTTCATCATGAGAATCCGAAATTACTCTACTCCCACGTAAACTACATCTGAGTTTTCAAGTAAAATGACGGTAATACTATTCACTAGTCATTGATAATTTACGGACATCAAAGGCAGACCAGTCGCAATCACATTGTAAATCCGCTGTCCGCACGGTTTTACTATCGGTAATGCGCTACGACAAGAGGTTTGAAAGCAAGCAAAGGAATAGTATGATATTAGTTTGTGAGATGATTTGGTCAAGAATTTGGTTCGTCGAAGAGAAGGGAATTGCATTGATCAGTTGGAAGATGGCACGATTTTAAGAGATGGCGATATATAGGTAGACAAGTACTCATTCATTTCCCTACCACTTTTCCGAACAGAAATGCAACGTAGCATCCGCCGTTTAAATGCAAACATGCTTCTTGTGAAAGAAATGTTTTCAAAACCAAAATAGCCTGTTAAGTCTGCAAAGCTCATTCTGACACTTCTTTGATGGCAGTGCATGATTCTGGAATACATTCAACACTATATACTGGCTACAATGGAAAAGGTCTACATTTAGCTGGTAGCAAAATCCAGATCTTTATGTCTGTTACTCGAAGGATTTCAGTCCTAAACCCATTTCAGGTATTCAGTATCTTGTTTTACTACCTGACTCACTACTTGCTCACCCAAGATCCCCAAGGTTGCATCATTCGCATGGCCTTTGATTTGTTCTAATAGCTTTTCATTTCTTAGGAGCATGCGCAATATGTGTACTTTACCACTTCAAAAATGATCCAGGCCGTCAGAGTGAGAGGGATGACACGTTGGAATGGTAAGCAAATTTAGTTTTAGAGAACAAACATCCACATTTCTGCCTTCTTGTTAGTAAATTGCCATGGGGACACTGTATTCATCCTCCAACTCTCTCCTTCTCCTTCTTCTTTTCATCCATTAATAATGTTCATATGCGGGACGAAACTTAGGATACGGTAGAACGACCTAGATGCATCAGCGACATTGGAATAAAGTGCCTTCTTACATGGTAGAAAATTCAATGAATGAGTTGCTGATGTCCCTGTAGTTCGGTATCTTGCACAAATGTGTATTTAATTATGTCAGCACGTGATTCGCCTCAGACTGCATTACTGTTTGGTGTTACGGCCTTTGGCTGTGCCAATAGCAGAACAACGGCTACGCGGTTGGGTGGTAGTAATGAGTATTGCTGCATAAAATGAGGTAGCGTCGATGTGTCTGCATCCAACACACGTTGGTAGGCTATGCAATGGAAAGGTTGAATGGAGAATGGAGGAAGTCCATTCGTAATGTGGATTCCGTCGTGACGAAAGGCGGGCCTCGTTCATGGAAGTGGGAGGAACTAGACGGAGTGGGTGTGCCCGAGTTCTACTCGCGTTCGCCCAAAAGGAAGGTCCCAACGAGCAAGACCGCGAAGGCGCCCACGCGCAACCGAAGTGCAGAGATCTTCACCAAGGGATATTCATTGAAAGAGACCACAAGGGACCTAGAAGAGGATAAGGAAAACAGAGTCCCAGATTCATCAACGTGAAGTTATTGGGATAGAAGATGCAAACAACGCTCACTAGAGTAATTTGTACTTAGACTTCGTGTGTCTTTTAATAAAGTCAAAAATGCTGTCTTATTATTAGTGAATATGACTAAGTTTGCCCATTTATTTAGCTGGATTTACACGAACAATTTGTGCACTTCTGAGTCGTTATGGGTGGGTTCAATGTGCGATTAAGGTAGTGGTCAAAGGCGTAGGACCAGTAGCCCCTAGGTTGGAATATCAATGTATTAGGTAGTTTGAAAGTATATACCATGCAAATCAAAAAGGAGGGTAACCGGGATTTTCTTGTTTCTATTTACACTGGAACTTATCCATAGAGTCGCATGCTGGGGAGAAACAATGCGTTTTATTTGTTTGCTTACATGGCATGAGATCAGGTTACAGCGATGCGTCCTTTTTTATGCAATCCTCATGCCTGCCACGACATGATTTTTGGTTGTCTAGTTGTGGTTACGTTAGAGAATGTCTGCATACCAGACACGGTGGTGTTTTAATGAATAAACCTCTCAATGGGAGAATCCCATCTCATGAGCTAATACTTCACGTAACTCAGTCATAATTC